CAACAGATGAAGGGACAGAAACTAACCAGTGGTCAGTCCAGAAATGAACAGAGTCTGATCTTTAAAAAGATCCAGTGGTTTATAAGTAGGTCACAGGTCACATGACAAACGAACCAGATTAGACCAAACTATAAATATCAGTCTTTGTTTCCCAGAGAGTTTGAACAGATAAAACAGGACAGAATGAAGCTGTTCATCTTCATCATCATCATCATCATCATCATCATCATCATCAGACTTCACTGATAACAAAACAACAACAAAGAGACTCAGCCACGAACTGTGTCTGAAACATTTAGAGACACTAAACTAATCACCAAACTGTAGAGATAAAACCAAACTAATCTTAAAGAGACAGTAGCAGCTCCATCACGTCAACACTGACACTCTGACATCAGAGGATGAGGTCATCAAGACATCGTCCCAGGAGGAGACGCTGACGTTTGGTCTCATTTTAACTCATGTTGACTGGAACCGACGTCACCACTGTAGGTCACCGCTGTAGGTCACCACTGTAGGTCATCACTGTAGGTCATCACTGTAGGTCACCACTGTAGGTCATCACTGTAGGTCATCACTGTAGGTCACCACTGTAGGTCATCACTGTAGGTCATCACTGTAGGTCACCACTGTAGGTCATCACTGTAGGTCATCACTGTAGTCAGTGACATCATCAACCATTAAATGACCTCATGATTGATATAAATATATATATATTGATATAAAACACTTCACAGTGAGTTCATTCAGTGACATCATCAACCATGAAATGACCTCATGTCCTGATTATCTGTTAGTTACTGTAGTTTGGGTCAAAGTTAACAACAGAAAAAAACAGACTCTTTTGAAATGTCTTTTCATTTCTGTTGTTATGAAATGTTGACATGACTCAGCAGTAAACCTCACCTCACTACCTCACCTCACTACCTCACCTCACTACCTCACCTCACCTCACTACGTCTCAATACCTCACCTCACTACGTCACCTCACCTCACTACCTCACCTCACTCCCTCCCCTCACCTCACCTCACCTCACCTCACTCCCTCACCTCACTACCTCACCTCACCTCACTTCCTCACCTCACTACCTCACCTCACCTCACTACCTCACCTCACTCCCTCCCCTCACCTCACCTCACCTCACCTCACCTCACCTCACTACCCCACCTCACCTCACTACCTCACCTCACCACCTCACCTCACTACCTCACCTCACTTCAATACCTCACTTTGGTAACGTAGAGGCGAACATACAGTTACTCAGTAACAAAATTAGAAACTAAATCGTTGGCCTCAACAGTGGAGCTGAGTCCAGATTTCCTGTTTTCCTGTTTTCTCCAAGAACTTCAAGATATATTTCTGAGATACTGAGATATTACTGTTGCTAAATACTGCACTCTGCTGCTACTGATACTACCATGAATACTACTGCCATGAATACTACTACCATGAATACTACTGCTACTACAACTGATGTTGTTTCCAACAGTCCGACTGAACCGTATCTTCTTCATATTAAGTTTGTCACGTGTCACGTGTCACGTGTGTCGACTTGGACTTGACCTCCAGTGACCTGGGGTTAAGACCGGACTCGGTCGTTTCTGAACGACAACAGTGACAAAAACATCTTTCATCGCAGGATTGGTCCAGACACCTGAGGTTGTCGTGACAACAACAAACGGCCTCCAGGAGCCGACGGTGAGCAGACGTCCTCACACTGTCATGGTGAGTCCAGTCTGACTGAACCAGCAACACCCGGGAGTGTGTGTGTGTGTGTCTGTGTGTGTGTGTGTGTCTGTGTGTGTGTGTGTCTGTGTGTTTGTCTGTGTGTGTGTGTGTGTGTGTCTGTGTGTGTGTCATTTCATGCGTCTCTGCTGATTGGCTAACACTGTTTAAAGTCACTGAACCAAACTACGGCACCACAGTTTGAGAACCATCCTTCTACCAGTGTTTAATAACCAGTCCACAGTCCAACCAGGAGGTGAACAGGAGGTTCTAGAAGGTTCCAAAGATGTTTGTGAAGTTTTTGGGGGACTTTCTGTTCAGGACGTACTAG